GAGCTATGAACAGAGGACGGGTAAGCTCTTGGTATTGGTTAGGGAAGAAAATGCAAAATGATGCAGATACACTTATGCAAATGCAATGCAATGAATGCACACGAGAACAGATCCACATCAAGGATTAAAGTCACAAATCCTGCAAGACAACAAAAAGGTATCTCTCCCCTTGGGTGGGAAATCTATTGGTCTAAGAGAGGGTATCCCAAAGGCTTTAAAACAAAGTCCCATGCACTAACCCTCAAAAGTTTTCCATCAGAACGACTACTCGTAAGACGGTAATCCTTTCAAAGGATGAACACAAAGTTATGTTTTAGGAACCTTCGGAATAAGGTTCTACAAAAGGTCCTCAGAGTCACGGACTCCCAAGTTGGAAATAAAGACGCCATTACGACTACACATAAGACATAATCATCCCAAAGGGGTCTCGTCTGAGCGGTGGAATTCGATCCAACTCAACGAGTCCTAAGTCTCGCAAATTAGAAAGAATCCACCTCCTAACTTAGTGTATACTCGAAAGCTCGGGTAGAAAGCTTTTATCGTCACAAACCAATCTAATAAACCCAACAGGTTAGTGAATACAACATAAAAAAAACAGATAAAAGAAAACAAAATCACACACGCGACAAACAAATTAGGCTTGGCTCGCTAGGAATCCCCAGCAGAGTCGCCAGCTGTCGTTACTCGAAAAATGCATCGTGCAACGACGGCGAGGAGAAAAGGAATGACAGAAGAGTCGCCACCGAACTTTATTTATCCCATGAGGGGAAAGGAAACTATCGAGAAAGTCTTAAGAAAGAAATGGATAAGATGGTCTCGCGACCAAGAACGGGTTCGGAAGCCGGTTATGCGAGGGGAAGGTATCAGCACCCCTCGCATCCATCGTACTCGATGGGAACCATTTGTTTGTCGACGTGTGAATTTATCTGCTTAAACATTATGCTATAAAAGAGTGTTCCAAAGAGGGAGAGAAAAAGGATTGAAATAGGAAAATGAGAGGTTAGGAGGAAAGAGAGAACGGGGAAGAAAAGAGAAAGAACAGACTCGATAGGACTTCGCGGTCCTAGGCCTACGTATTCTCAACGGATGTGAGAAAATCAGAGTCGATGTAGTTCGGGGCTACGGATATAGGGGAATGTGCTCGACAAGGATTGTGGCCCTTGTGCCTACGTATCTTTACTTGAAGAAGTAAAGAATTAGAGCAACCATAGTTCGGCCTACGGTTTGCGGGTGAGCAGGGTGTTTTGGTAGACGATGCTATCGTGCGCATTCTAGCAGTTTAGGTGTATTGCTGCTCGCATGTGAGGAGACTTAAGCGTTACCTGTTTACGGTAGAACGAACGTAGCATGCCTTTCTGGGGAAAGGGTGGAAAAAAGAAAAGGGTGCTCGCTAGGATCATTGCAATCCTATACCTACGTATTCTCAACATGTAAGATAAATCAGAGCAACGTAGTTCGTGCTACTACGGGTAACCTGTGTTTTTGTGGATGATGTTATCGTGCGTATTCTAGCAGTTTAGGTGTATTGCTGCTCGCATGTGAGGAGACTTATGCGTTACCTGTTTGCGGTGGAACGGACGTAACATATCCTTTTTGAAAGGTTGATTAGTTTTCGCCATGCGAGGCAAGAAGTCACGTTTGATTGGTTGAATTTTTTTTAGGGGTGAGATAAATCCTCGGATAGTAACCCCTACGGGTAGTACCCAATTCTTTATCTCAAAGTTTTTGTTATGAAAATGGTGTGGCGAACGTAGCGTCTTCGTATTGAAAGACGAGTATCGAGACCACCCCACTACAGTGAGCATCCCAACACTCGGAGAGGAAGAAGACTACACTTAATCCTCTCTCTTTAATTCAATGCAAATAGAACTTCGTTCTCTTATTAAAGATGTTTTTGGTTTTGAATGGTAAGTGCTTTGCGACAGAGAACCATACGGTAAACGTCAGCACTCGGGATAGGAGAAGGCCTACGCCTAACCACTCCACGACCATTCAAGTTTTTGTATGAAAAGGAATTTGAAAATGCACTCGGTACGTGACCGAGGTTTTAGGTGGGAAAGGTTTCGGAAAGGAGTTGTGAAAGGAGAGGTGGTGGAAGAAGTCGCGTCTTCGTATTGAAAAACGAGTATCTAAACCACCCACACTACAGTGAGCATCTCGACACTCGGAAAGGAAGAAGTCTACACTTAATCTTTTCTCTTTAGTCCAATACAAAGAGAAGTTGATTCTTATTGAAAGGGATTTTGAAAATGCACTCGGTGCGGGGCCGAGGTTTTAAAAGAGAAGGTTGAAAAGAGAAAAAGCGTCCTTGTATTGAAAGACGAGTGTCTAAACCACCCACACTACAATGAGCATCTCGACACTCGGAGAGGAAGAAAGTCTACACTTAATCCCCTTTTTTAGTTCAATACAAAGATGATTTGATTTTAAAGATGGTTTAAAAATGGACTCGGTACGGGACCAAGGTTTTGAAAATGCACTCGGTGCAGAGCCGAGGTTTTAGGAGAGAAAGTGGATGAGTGCGGAGAATACAAGCCTCTTCGTATTGAAAGACGAGTATCAAGACCACCCACACTACAATGAGCATCTCGACACTCGGAGAGGGAGAAATTCTACACTTAATCCTCTTTTTTCAATTCAACACGAATATAACTCGATTCCTTTATTGAAGATGGTTTGATAGCGTCGATGAATCGAATCGGGACAAATGTAACGCTAAACCGCCTTAGCTCGACTTATAAGGGAAGTCAAACTATAAGAGGTCACGTATTGATTTTCGTGCTATGGACAAGATAGAGAAACGATATTGAGGATCGTTCTCCAATTGAATCGTGTCGCACAGACCAAATACAGTAGGATCTCGTCTTACGGATACAAGACTTCATCGATCACCAAAAGTCAAAATGAAATCGGAAATATGAAAAGAAATGAGGAGAGAAAGAAGGTGAAGACTCAAACCTCGTCTTAATTGCAAACTTTAAGTTAATTTAATCGAAGGGAACCTCTTGCGATCCCAAAGTAGGGAAAATGACCCAAATGGTCATTCTCCTTAGATTTGAAATAACAAAGGTTTCAACATCCTCGAAAATCAACGTTTGACGAATCAGAAACTTCATCGGTTCGAAAACAAAATTGTAATAAAAATGCGAGGTGAAAAAAAGAGGTGGGTCTCGGATCCTTTGTTTCACGTCAGTAATTTGACGGTTAAACGGTGGTGATCTCGTCATCGACCAAAACAAAAATAAAAAAGGGACAAAATGTTCAATAACAAAAGAGAAAGAAATAACTCTAAAAATAAAGTATATAAACTTCTAAATAATAAATTAATCCTAATACTAAAAAAAAATCTTAATAATATTAAAAAAAATGAATAAATCTATTTCTAAACTATTAATATTAACAAAAAAATAATAATAATAAAAAGACTAACAAATTAACAAAACTATAAAATAAATCTATCTAAAAGTTATCTTCTAAAAAAATAAAATAATCTAAAAATTAATTAAAATCTATATTAAACTATCAAAATTCTAACAAAAAAACTAATTAATAATCTATTTAAAACTTAAATCCTATTCTAAACAATTATATAAAAACAAACTATTTTAAAAAATCTATTAAAATCAAATACTATTTAAATGGAAAATAAATTACTATTCTAACTAAAAATAAAAATCTATTTCTATTTAATATAATAAAACCTATTCTAAAATTATAATAAAAAACAAATTGATTATCTAAATGAAAAGTTAAAATAAAAACATATACAAAATAAAATATTAGAAAGAAAAATGAGAGAATAAACATGGGATTAAAATTTACAAAAAAAATACCCTTAGGCCACGTGTCGCGCTCCTATTGGATAAAAAAGTTGAGATTTGAAAAACGCCCAATCGGGGCGGACACGTGTCTAAACAGTATGAAATTAAATGAAAAATGCAAAATAAAAATGCGAAAATATTTACAAAATTGGCGGGCAAATTTAGGATATAACAATGCTAAAGTTTCGATCAATCGGTTACAATAGATTGATTTTCGTTGAGCTATTTTTTAATTTTAAAATAAGGATATATCACAAGTAGAGTTAAACATAAAATAAACCTAATTTAATTACTTAAATTTTAGTTTGATATTTTCTTTATATTTCTCAATTCTCCTTTATTATAGGCCAAATTTTTAGAACAGAAGAAAATAGTCAATTCAACATGTTATCCAAAAAGAAACAAAATCTATCTTCAATCTCAATTTAAATTTTTCATTGTACATGTGGCATATTTTAATTACTGTTAGTTTTTTTAGCACTTATTTCCTTTTAATACTTTTTCTATTAAATATTTATTTCTTTCCATTCCGTTTTTTCTTTCACTTCTCATTCCTTTAAATTTTATCAAACTCCTAAATAAAAATATAGTCTTAGTACTAATTATATCAATTTTGTTTACCCATTTAGTTTACTCCTATTAAGATAAAACCCTAATCACCCTTAAAAAACGTAATCAGTATCACTTTCAACACTTCCCTTCCCTCCAATTAATCAGAATTTTGTTTCTCTCGCAACAATCAGAGCCTATATTCCAGGTCATTGCTCTATTCACTTCTTTGAGCTTTTCAATTTTCTTTTCATGTAATGGTTTCATAGATATTTAGAGTTAATTATTTCATAAACCATGTTCATGTCCCACTCTGTTTATTGTTTCTTTCTATTTGATTTTATTCCTTGTTCGGAAATTCTCTTTCATAGTTTTAAGATTAATAATGCTAGGGTTTAATTCAAGACTTTTGTAGTTACATAATAAATAGACAAATTTAATTATTTTTATTATTTAAGTTTGTAAATGATTGATTTGGAAAACACATATGAAAAAAGAGAGCTATTGTGGAATGTTTTAGAAAAGAAAAGAGTTTTTTTTTTTTTTTTTACGTTTGAGAAATCAAGGATATGTATGTTTAATTATGTGCTAAAATTTTCAAACTTTGTGACTTTTTAGAAATATTGAGTCATGAGTGGCACTTCAAAGCAACAACTGGGTGATGGTGGCAAAAGTCCACAGTGTAGCCGGTCAGTATTACCGGAGGAAGAAGCTGATCAAATAGTTAACTCGGGTGGAGGAGAAGTTGCTCTAAAGAAAGGTATCGAAGCTGATCAAACAGTTAATGCGGGTGGAGGAGAAGTTGCTCTTAAGAAAGGTAGCACTTCGACACGAAAACATAAAGTGTCATCATTATCAAGTGGCAGTGATGTTGGTAAAAGGTCAAAGCTTAGCCGGTCAATATTACCGGAGGAAGAAGCTGATCAAAGAGATAATGCGGGTGGAGGAGAAGTTGTTCTAAAGAAAGGTCTGTGGACAAAGGAAGAGGATGAAAATTTGAAAGATCATATTAAAAAGCATGGAGAGGGAAACTGGAAAGCAGTCCAAAAGGAATCAGGACTTGCTCGCTGTGGGAAAAGTTGTCGTCTCCGATGGTCAAATCACTTGAGGCCACGAGTGAAAAAAGGTTCATTTACTGCCAAAGAAGAATGCCTAATCATTGAGTGGAACTTTCTGAAGGGAAACAAGTGGGCTCATATGGCTACATTTGTATATCTAATAACTTAACTTTGTTTGTGTATATTATGTTAATGTTAATGTGTAGATGATATCCTGCATTGGTGTCTTGTTGAATATAATACCATTTTTCTCAAAATGAATGCATCTTCAAATGATGATTTGAATAAATCTTACTTTTGACCATCATGTTATTGTTCCTGGACAGTATTACTTAAATGTGTTCTGTTACTGAGCTTGTTATTTACATATTCTGTCGAGTATATTTGCCTTGTGATCTGACCTGATCAGAAGGGGATCACGGGCTGGTCCCACGCTGTTGGACTGCTATCTGTTCACCGTTGATGAGGAGGAGAAGGGGGGTGTACCTGCAAGACACTCCGATGCCAAAGTAAGGAATTAGGCAGAGTAAGAGCGAAGTACAGAAAGTGGGTAAGAAGTGAATTACCTGACCCTCTTGAGGAAGAGGGTATTTATAGAGAGACCCCAGCGCTGGGCCAACGGTCACTTGTGTTGGGCCGGATGGCCAGGCCTAACATAGGTGACTGCTAGGGCTTACATGGTGTAGTGAAGACCAGGACGTGGTCTTCGCCCTAGTCCAACTGTCCCGTGGTTTCCGGAAAGTTGGTTTGACCTACTCTTTCGGAGGTGAGCAGTTGGGGGATGACGTGTCCCCGCGGAGGGGAGTACGTGGAGAACGTGCGTATGGCACGTTATCTTCCCCGCGGAGAGGAGCTCGCGAGGTTCCCCAGAGGTGTGTCATTCTCCCTGCAGAGGGGAGCACACGGTTACGTGGGAGAGCCATGGGGTCTTGCTCGACGACAAGGGGAATACCGCCCGCGGAGGGTGGTGCTTGGTCGTGCGGGCGATAGCTTGCCCGGCGTGGTTGGGACGGTTCTCCCTTGCGGGGAGATCTTTCTAGCGTGCAAGGGATATTGTGCTCGACGTGGTGCCTGGACCGGGCAGGGCCTAGTGGAACATTATTGGGTCGGGCCAGCATAGTTCATCCCGGGGCCCAGTCCAGAATAGGAGCCCCCCAAGTCATTGCTCCGAGGATAGGAGTGAGGACTTGAAGACGTCGTCCCGGGGAAGTGGACTGGTCCGGGGAAAGAGTTCTCCGTGCGAGGACGCGTGTTCATCGCCGTCGACCGGCTGAGCTCGAAGACGGGTATTGGCGGGGAGAGGTGAAGAGACGCGTCTGTCTGCTTCCGCCACGTGTCGCATTCTGGGTGGCTGCTGAGGAGGCTACCCTAGGGTACTCAAGTGTCTAGCGACGCTTCGAGTCCCGTGTAGGGGTATAAGTGAGCGAGCCCCTGCTCATTTCTCACTTTTCGCCCTCTTGCTCCCAAGTTTTCAGCCTGCTGTTCCGCCGCCGTCCGATATCTCCGCCGCTACAGCCGCCGCATTCTCCGTCGTCGATTTTACCACAGTAAGTTTTCTTTTTCTTTCCTCTTAGTTTTCTTATTTGTTTCTTGAGCATGGCTGGAGCCGTTTGAATGCCCCGAGGAGCGGCGAAAATCTTCGCCGTTCTTGAGGGTTTTTTAAGGTTTTTGTTATGAATGCACCGGGGAGAGACGTTAGTTCCGATGAGTACCCCGGGGAGGGTAGCTCCTTCCGATGAATGCCTCGGGTAAAGGTTCTTTACTCCGATGAATGCCCCGGGGAAAGATTCTTTACTCCGATGAACGTCCCGGGGAGCGACGTCTATTCTGACGGATGTCTCCGGGGAGGGTTTACAGTTCAGGTCATACTGAACCGGGGAGGTTGTAGGTTAGGGCAGATTCACCGGGGACGATGCTCGGGGAGTCCTCGTCGCCCTTTCACTTGACTTGTGGTGGAAGGGTGAATTTGATCTCTGTCATCGAATTCACCGTTACCTTCTGCTTTTCAGGTGTTTAATGACTACGCTCGTTTCGGGCACAATGGTCGAGGATAATGAGCCAGACGTCCCCCATTTTGATGAGCGTGTCGTCCCGATCAGAGACTGGGTGGCCGAGGAGCCCCTCACCACGCCCTCCTGCTTCGCTTCTGATCCGACGGAGGCCTACGCCACCGTGGAAGACCGGGAAGAGGGGGATCCTCAAAACTGGCAAGTCTATCGCCCCCGGCCAGGTCATCGGATCTGCTCGAAATACGGGCGGATGCGCTTTCTAATGTACGAGTTTTACTTCAAAGAGGCTAGGCACAGGTTGCCTTTTTCGGACTTCCATCTGGGTCTCTTCGACTGGCTGAGGCTGACCCCGTCGCAACTGCACCCTAATGCCTTGGCTTTTATTCGGGCCTTTGAGCTTGTTTGCCAATATCTCCAGGTCGGCGTTACGCTGCCGCTGTTCTTTCGTATTTTCCATCTACAGCGGCAGTCGGTAGGAGGTCGGCATGGTTGGGAGTCATTCAAGCAGCCGGACAGGCTTTTTAGGACGTACATGGATTCCGTCAGAGATTTCAAAAGTCGCTTTTCGTGGTCAGCCCTATCACGCACGAAGGGGTCCGATCGTTATATTCGGAAGGGGAGAGGATAGTGGATGGTCGTCGCGAGGCCGTCGTGCTGCCCCGGGTGCACGTGGAGTGGTCCCTGGACCATTATTCTCGGGGGACAGGTGGGTATATCGTGCGGGCGGGGATGCTTGATGAGGAGGATATAGCCAGCTACCTGAAGATAGTTTCTTTCGTGCGAAACTTATCGCCGTCGAAGTTGTTCACCCCTGACGGCCAGTATATCCTCGATAGTTATAGAAACATTCAGGAGACAGCGAGGCTGATCAACACAAAGGCTCTGCTCGAGTGTGCCTCGGAGGAGGATGCTCTGCGTTACCTAGGTGGTGGCCGCCTCGTTCCCTTTCGACCTGATATCCTCACCTTTTTACTGACTAGTTTTTCTTTTGCCGTGCAGGGAATATGGCTTCTGTCGAGGAGCGAGTGAAGAAGCTGCGCATGTCAAGGGTCGTTGTTCCTCCGAAGACGCGGGTGGCTCAGTTGGTCGGGCAGTCTTCCGCAGAGCAAGATGGAAGGGGGTCGTCGGCGTCCTCGACCGGTAGCCAGCCGCCTACTTCCCAAGGGGTTCCGAAGAAAGCGAGAGTTCAGGAGGATACGCACATGGTCGATTTATCGGCAGAGTCTTCCAAGGAGGGTTACACCATCGCTCCTTGTCACCAGCATCCCGGCTACTTCCATGGGGCTAGGTCGCCCAGCATTCCGGCGGGGGAGGTGAAGGCGATTCTGGGCGCCAACCGTGCTACGAGGAGGCAGGTTCTTACCAAGGATTTGGCTGCGTTGATGCGGACTTTTACTACGGCGATGGTTCTGAGCGAAGAGAGCTGCTCGGCCGTGGAACTATCGAAGCTGCAGGGGGATCTCGCGTTCGTGCAGTCCCGTCTGAATAAGGCGGCCTAGGATTTGGAGGCGAGCCGGGGGAAAGTGACTCAGTTGACCGGAGAGCTGGAGAAGGTTCGGGGGGAGGTTGACCTCGAGCGCAAAAGATGTAGTGGCGTTGAGGAGAAGCTGAAGGTTTCCGAGGAGGAGTTGCGGGCGTCGAAAGCTCGGGTGGCGGAGCTCGAGGGCGATCTCTTTCCTGGTGATGATGAGACCGACGACGACCGGCTGCTGGTTACCCGGGCTGATCTGCTTGCCAGGATACGCGTGCTGGAAGGGGACTGCCTGGATGGTTTTGCTGCGGGCTTTAACAGCGCTGTTGCTCAGCTCAGGGTGGTGAACTCCGGGGTCGCCTTCATTGAGGATGGGTTCGGCCCCTTTCATGAGATAATTGATGGTCGGGTGGTTGACCCCAGCGCCGAGGAGGCTGGCACCGTCGTCCCTGGCGTGGAGCCTGAAGCTGATGGAGAGGAGGGAGCTTAGATTGGTCCCGGGCCTACGTGCCCGCGTATTTCGGCCTGTGCGCCATATTTTGTATTTCGTTGTTTTCTTTGTCGGGCATGCGCGCCCTTGTTTATGTAATGTTGACTACTGGGCTGGTGCCCTCTTTTGATTAATATATTTTGAAAATTGTCTAAGTGTGCGCCTCGTTTTTGCATGTTGTTTATGCTCGTTTTATTTCTGCACGTATTTGTATGCTTTGAGATATATATGTTTGATATGCATGTGTTAGTATGCCTTTGGGCCTGTCCAGGGTGGTAGCTCGACAATACTTGTTACCGGCGGTGAAGGGAACTGGTCGGTTGGCCGGCGTTGCTGCCGGATCGGTTCGGGGGTAGTTCTCCCCGTGGCGTGGACGTCCCATTGCGAGTTGGGCGTCCTACCTGTTTTGGTACGGTGGTGGGGAATCTCGGTCGAGGTGTTCCCCGCCGAGCAAGGCCTTCTGCCCGCGCACACAAGAGGCAGGGATTGCTTTTCTCTGGTCATTAGTAGACGCGAGGAAGTGCAGTGGTACCATGTCGCCCCCCAGTGGTCGTGACGATGGGTCGTCGCGGGCAGTGTTTAACTGTAGTACCGCTTAAGTTTCGCGGCGTTCCATGGTCGAGCTAGTGGTTCCCCGTGCAGGTTTTCGAGGTAATAGTCCCCGTGCTCCGTCTTGTCGCGGACACGGTAAGGGTCTTCCCAATTCGCAGCCAGTTTTCCCTCGTGTGAGTCTTTCTGGTTTCTGCGCAGAACTAAGTCGCCGATTTGGAAGTCGCGTTTGAGGACTTTATTGTCGTGGCGAAGTGCCACCTGCTGTTTCAGTCGGGCTTCCCGGAGGGCTGCTCTTGAGCGAATCTCTTCGACGAGATCGAGCTCTTCACGTAAGGCATCGTCGTTGTCGTTGTCGTCGGCGTCGAGGGGAGCTTCAGTTCGTCTGGATGGCTCGCGTGTCTCGACCGGTATCACGACTTCGGTTCCATACGTGAGGCGGAATGGGGTTTTCCCCGTGGTTGAATAGGGAGTAGTGCGGTATGCCCAGAGGACGCTGTGGAGCTCCTCGACCCATGCTCGCTTGCGTCGCCGAGTCGTCGTTTGAGTCCCCTGAGGATGACCCTGTTCGCGGATTCTGCCTGGCTGTTTGTCTGGGGGTGCTCAACCGAGGTGAAGTGGTGTTTGGTTCCGAGCTTGGTGACGAAGTC